AATTATATATATAACTCTTAGTAACTACGATTTAACTTATTATTTATTATATTTTATATATTATTTTTATTAGTACAAATAGTACAATTTAGTTTATTATTTATTTAATTTTATTTGAATATTTGTAACATGTATACAATACATTCCATTATTCCTCGTGTATTGCAGACTTACTTGTTAGACTCGGTTAAAGCGCGAGCCTGGGAATACGAAGGACATGTTTACAGCGATAGTACATGCGAGGATATAATACGACAGACAGTGCGAGCGAAGCTGCTGGACCTTCTAGCGAATGAGGTTCCCTATCGTTTGCAGATGAAACTGGAACACTTTGATCCAGCACCCGATGACAGTATCAATACGTTGGTGTCTGTTACGAGTCTCACCAATTGCATCGCTAGACTATTAACGTGCGGCAGTAATAATAGAGTAGGTCAGATTGCCGTTATGGCAGAGCGGGAACTGCGGCATGCTTTTTGCACGTCGGTGAGATTGAAGCTGAGCATGCTGTCGCCGACGTAACTCATATTTATTATTTATAAAATAAAGTTTTATATTAATAAGTTAGTTTAATGTTCTAATACAAACCCAAATCACAAAAATCAATTGTCAATTTAAGAATATAATTATTAAATATAGATATATAATTCCTTTACACTAAATCTGTAAATTGTTTAATGAGCGTTTGTGCGAAGACTATAATTGTAGCAACAATTAATTTATCGCCTGCTCCTTTTTAGCTTATAATTTTATTCGTAGAATAAAACTATAAATAAAAACATTTTAAGTTTCTGGATCTACAATATATAGAATTTTTATTTGTGCCATTTACTACTTAATTGTTATAATTTTTTCCTATAAATTAACCATTGCAATCTCAACATTTCAAATACGGTTTTAACGAATATATAGTGGGCTATTAGAAAAAAAATATAGTCATTGCAATTATATTACCAACACTTTTAATCTAGTGAGTGAAATACAATCAGTTTTTTTTTTAATTAATATCATTATTCAAACTTAACCCTAAACCTTTAAGACAGAATTTGTGTTTCGTACTACTTAAACTTTTTGTAAAAATATCCGCTATCACTTTATCTGTAGACATATTGGAGTTATCTGTTTTCTATCAAGAGCTTGTCTGATAAAATGATATTTTATATCAATATGCTAGGTTTTTATTATGAAATATTGGAATAGATGTTAAATTAATTTCTGAGCGCTTTGATTACAAATAGTTATAGATTTATTATATTTAATTAATTCACTTAACAATCCTTTCAAATGAATAGCTTCTTTAGCAGACTCAGAAATAGCAACATATTCTGCTTCTGTTAGCTATTAAAAACTTTTGTAATGTTCTGTTTCAATTCTTCCTCTTCAGAAACTTCTCAAATTACATTTGACTGTTTAGAATTGATATAGATATTTGAAGATTCTTCTTTATTATTTAGTTTGAAATTAGTGATATTTATATCAGAATTTTCATATATCTTTTCCTTATCAGAAAAACATTAATTTTTCAAGAATATCACATATTGACAATTTTTCCTTTTTTTTCAAGGTCGTATAACCTATACTCTTTTGTATTTTTACAGTATTCTACAATAAAAAATAAAAAATAAAATAGATGCTGTTTTCCTTTGGCGTCCCATTTATTTCTCTGATTTCTGGGAATGTGCACGTATGGCAAACAGCAAAATACTTTCAAGTGACTAAGATCCACTTTCTTGCCAGTCCATAATTCTTCTGGCGTCTTTCCTTTAATCGCTTTCTGAGGAGAACGATTTTTAAGATAGACCGCAGTGTTAACTGCCTTTGCCCACATCTTCTGATCCGATCTGGCGTCTTGCATCATACAACATGCTTTTTCCACAATTGTGCGATTTGTCCTCTCAGCAACATCATTCTGTTCTGGTGTATATGGAACCGTTAAAAGAACAATGTTCAGTCAAGTACATATGAATAAAGAAAAGTAGTACAAGCTTAATTTAATGCGTATTAAAAAAATTTTTTTCTTAAAGTCGCGTAGCAAGTTCATATAGGTCGATCTCACATAATTTGAATATATATTCGCTATTCTCTCTGTTACTTTGTCCAGCTCGCTACTCAATATTTATTCTTTTTTTTCATCTTCTTTTTTTTGGTTTTTAGATCCCCACATGTAGCCTATGCCGAGGATGGTGGCGACGCCGGCGACGCCCAAGGCTCCCAAGATACAAGAATCAACAACATCCATGCGATCGGCTTCTGGCTCTGCAGACCTTTGGCCAGTCGGCCGTGGTGGAACATCATGCCTAAAAAAAGAACACCATATTTTTACTAATTAATACTTATTTTATATTATTTAACGTAATATTTATAATTTTCGCAATTTTGAGAAAAAGAATAAATTATACCGGTTTGGATGCTCTGTAGTACCACATCCAAAATTTGGTATGACTTTAGCTGGGTTTACGGCACTCCGGCATGTTGGACAAATTTGCTTGATCTCTAACCATTGATATAGACATGGCCAGCTACATTATTATTATTTATATTATTCAAATCATAGATAATATTTCATTCCTTGATGTGCTATGTTATTATCAAATAAATATTTACCAGAACAGATGGCCGCACTGAGTGCTTACTGCATCTTTTACTTCATCATCACATATTATGCATAATATGCCATTCTTATAGCTTGCGCATTGCGAACTTGGACCCGGTTGTTGTTTTTCTGTCATCTTTCAAAAATATCCATATATTAAAAATTTTACAAATACTTTTACGTTTTAAAATAAATAGCAAAATAATCTTTTAACGCATTAATACGATTTTGAAATAACTTGCAGATATAGTTTATATTAATTACATTCTTATATTATAGTTATAATTTATACAACAAATGTATGTGACTCGCATAATGTCGAGGGAGTGTATTCTGAACAAGCGGACTATACACAGCTTGACAGTCGACTTCGCGTTGTGTAGGTATTGTTGCCCGCGGGCTTGTCAACAATGGGCCGTACGGATACGCATTTATTCGTATTCATTTTGAAAAACTATTCTATATGGCCCGACAATATTTAACAATTTTTTGTATGTTCCACATTCGTACGGAAATACTGCATATTATATACAGTCTTTTATTTCGAACGCGATTTTTGCTAAGCAATTAGCGACGTCGAGAGGATTTCTTAAATGCACAGGGGAACACAGGGAAAGCAAGCGATTTCTCATGAAGTCCGCGAGCAACGAACAGTTTGAATGTGACGAAAAAAAAAGCCCCGAAAATTCGCGGGCTTTAGAACTTTGTCACATATAACCGCGACAATAATTCGCAAGCTGATAATTTTGATTGCAAATATTTATAGGACGAATTCTTATGCAAATATGTTAAAAATGTTAAAATTTTATATTGAAACTGACCTTTCTTTTGAAGCGCAGAGCAGCACCAATCAGTAGTCACCTTATCGAATTCTTCTTCTTCTTCTTCTTTTTCTTCTTGCTTTGGATTTCAGATTCTTGTTAGAATCTAAGTACCACAATTATGTTGTTGTTACTGATCTCTTATATGGGCCGAGAGATCAGACGTGAATTTTCTTAAGGTGGTCCGGCTGATTAGTTGTACAAGTCGCCTTATCGAATTCCCACTTCGAAAGAGGCCGGTCCACACCCATACTGATCCTTTTATAGTGGTGGTGATTCACTGCTGTTCCATAATGTTCTAAAACATCTAGACTGTTTGGCGGGATTCTGAGAGAAACCCAAGATAAAGGACTCATATTGACACTTTTTAGCAATAGCTGTATGTATGATCAAATGCATAAAAGATATTACCACAGTATTACAATAATTAGATAGATGGCACTGATCCTCCCTATATTGGATGATGCAATTCTCTAGCGGGCCGGCTCGAGTCGCTGCGCTCGCCGATATAACCTACAAAGATTGCGTTGTAGTGCAGAAAACAATAAAAGAAAAAGTTTGAAAGTAAAAAGAAGCATAATTTTGATAACATTTCCCAAAATCGCTTTAATCTGTTGTATACGAAATGTTATTTGCAATCGAGAGATACACGATTTGTGCGAGTGCGCGTTATTTGCGGCGATGTTTCACAAACAGCGTTGACATTTCGGCAAACGAGTTTCTGCGAAACTTTGCTCAACAATCCAACGAGAGTCTTACGTCGATACGTCCTGAAGCCCAAAAATCTTTAAGGATCGCTTTTCTGGGCGCACCGAATACCGGAAAAAGCACCCTCGTTAATCAACTTGTTAAAAGATCGGTAATTATTTTTACTTGCACGTTTTATATGAATTAAATTATATTATCTGTGTAGCATTCAATTATTAAGTTATCTTATTTACATTTCCTGCTTGTATTAAAAAAAAATATGAAGTATATTTTGTAAAATTTTATTATAAAAATTTTTATTTATTTTTATTATAGAATAATTATTTCAGTATATTTTTCTTTAAATGTATGTATTGTATCATTAAATAGGTATGTCCGGTATTCTGCAAGGTGCACACCACACAGACCAAAGCACGTGGAATTTATTGCGAAGGCGATACCCAGCTTGTATTCATGGATACGCCTGGTATGGTTACCACGAAAGAATGCAAAAAGTTCAAGTTAGCCGGCAGCTTCAAGACGGATTCGAGAACCTCCTTAAACATCGCAGATATTATAGGGATTGTGCAGGACGCAGAGAACATATACACCAGACACAAGATCAATTCGAACTTTATTAGAGCTCCTGACTGAGGACATAAGAAGCAGGATTCCTATAATTCTGGTCATCAACAAAATGGACAAGCTGAAGAAAAAGGATATATTGCTGGACTTTGTGCATACTTTGACCAAGAGCAAGAAGTCTCCTGACTTCTGTGACGTATTCATGATATCCGCTTTGACCAGGGATGGCATTAACGACTTGAGGGTAAATTTTCTACTGCTATAAAGAATTAGACGCAAGCGATGATAAATTATATATATAACTCTTAGTAACTACGATTTAACTTATTATTTATTATATTTTATATATTATTTTTATTAGTACAAATAGTACAATTTAGTTTATTATTTATTTAATTTTATTTGAAATATTTGTAACATGTATACCATACATTCCATTATTCCTCGTGTACTGCAGACTTACTTGTTAGACTCGGCTAAACCGCGTTGCCTGGGAGTACGAAGGACATGTGTACAGCGATAGTACGTGCGAGGATATAATACGGCAGACAGTGCGAGCGAAGCTGCTAGACATTCTACCGAATGAGGTTCCCTATCGTTTGCAGATGGAACTGGAACACTTTGATCCAGCACCCGATGACAGTATCAATACATTGGTGTCTATTACGCGTCCCACCAATTGCATCGCTAGACTATTAACGCGCGGCAGTAACAATAGAGTAGGTCAGATCGCCGTTATGGCAGAGCGGGAACTGCGGCATGCTTTCCGCACATCGGTGAGATTGAAGCTGAGCGTGCTGTCGCCGACGTAACTCATATTTATTATTTGTAAAATAAAGTTTTATGTTAATAATATAAGTTAGTTTAATGCTCCAATACAAACCCAAATCACAAAAATCAATCGTCAATTTAAGAATATAATTTCTTTACGCTGAATCTGTAAATCGTTTAATGAGCATTTGTGCAAAGACTGCTATAGTTGTAGCAACAATTAATTTATCTCCTGCCCCTTTTTTGGATTATAATTTCACTCGAGTAGAATAAAACTATAAATAAAAACATTTAAAGTTTCTGGATCTGCAATGTATAGAATTTTTATTTGTGCCATTTACTACTTAATTGTATAATTCTGATGTTTTGTCATTTTTTGTGAATATATAGATTTTTGTGGATTGAACTTTCAGACGTAAAATTTTAGAATTCAAAATTTCTTGGTATTTCAGTATCATAGCTAATTTGATTATATTTTTCTGATGTTTCGTTGAATTATTTCTTACTTAAATTTTCGATAATTGAAACGGGAATTACAATTGCATACACTAGATAAAATAATCGGCGTCTCTCTCGACCGTCGAATATCGCAGATTATTACTTAATTTTTTGATAATATTCTTTTCTATATCTTTTTAACTCTATGGTGTTTCTTTTCTCAGAGAGGTTCCTGTCTACTGTATTGTATTTGATCTATGAAAGTGCGGTTATGTTGACCGCCATGGAATAAACGCGGGAAATCTGTCAAACGCGTAGAAGCGGCGTGACGATGGCGCAGCGTCGTATAGAGTGAGCAAATATAATTATTTGACAATTTGTCGTAAACATAATCTGTAAAGGTGCATCTACAGCTATCGTAATGTCTCTATCGTAAGCTCCTTACGATAATCGTAAGGCTAACCTATTAGCTGTCAATCTCGTCGTACGAGTGGACTCTAAAGGCTGCGTCCCATTTAACGTTCGCGAGCATTATTTGTTTAACATTTGATAAACAGCAAGGATGTAATGATTCCAAGAGCGTTGCGAGCTTTAAATGGAACTCGCACCCTAATTCAGCTGTTGCGTTGCATTACGGTATGCAGTACATTTCGTCGCGACAGATTCCCTACTTCCCTGTTGGCTGTTAGCATTACGATTTATATCAATTTTTATTATAACTTGGACTGCGTTCAGGAATTCACGATACATTATTTCATCCTTGTTATTCATCGAATGTTAAACAAGGATAAAACGATATCTAGGGTAACTGTCCCTATTAATGTGCCCTGAACCTGTTAGTGTGCTTTTATATTTAATAAGTCATAAAAGTAAACTGGTACAAATATATAGACAAAGTATTTTTTTTTATTAAGTTAAAGTATTAACTTTATAGAAAAAAAAATACTTTGTCTATTTACTTGTACCAGTTTATTTTTATGACTTGTTTAAATATAAAAGCACACTAATAGATACAGGGCACACTAATAGGGACAGTTACCCTAGATGCATCTAGGTAAAGTTTCTGAATGCAGCCTTGTAGACAAACATTGTTTACTCGTTTTTTCCTTTACGACCACGATCATTTATGATTGCAGCATTTCGATAGATGTAGATAGACCTTAATATGCGAGATAAGCAGTTCAACTTATTACGAGTTACAATTTTTTTTTGTACATACGCAATTTTTTGGTCATCTGCTATCCTTTTTGCAGCTCCTTCTTCACTAAGATATCCAAGAAAGAGAATTCGAGCCAGGATAATTCGGAGAGGTATGTTTCGCTGTTAATAGTCCCTCTTTATAGTAGTCAATTATGCTAAAAATACTCGCTACGTGCTCGCGCTTGAGCTCGCTGGCTCTACCGGCTCGACGACTGGAGCTCGCAGTCGCGGCTCGCAGCCGATTCATTGTCGTTTTTAATTGGATACATACAACCAACAGCCACTCGGACAATCGGGAGAGTCATGATGCTTCGGAGAACGGCAAACGGAAAAGAGACAGCAATGGCTTCAGGTGATTAAGCTCAATCTATTTGTTGGAGTATGAGTAATTTTGAATTGTTAGGATTTTTCCAATATCGTTTTCCTTTGTAATAATTATTTTTGTGTAAATCATGGTTTTGCAGTTCTCCACCGTCAGAGAAGCAAGATATTAAACCTAAGAAGCCAAAGACAATTTCCAAGACACCTTCTCCAGGTGCGAAGCCTCGTGTCAAGCTAGGTAACTATATTGTCGTATTTGTGGATATTTTCAAATGCACTATATATACTTGTAATTAATCTTTAAATAGCTACTCCAAGAAGTAAGCCGAGTAAACTTTCGCCTGGAGCAAAAAAGGCAAAGAAGAATCAACAGAAAGGTACACCTGGGAAGAAGAAAAAAGAAGAGAATAAAACTGTAAATGGCGCTGCTAGAAATGATACAGTTGAGGAAAAAAAGGAAATAGAAGAATCCGACACAGCTGAAGGGAAACAGAAAAAAGAAGAAAAGAGCTTTGAAAAAGAATTGAAAACAGCTGATGGAAAAAAGAAGAAAGGAGAACATAATACAGCTGAAGCGAAAAAGAAAGAAGAATCTGCCTCTTCGAAGAGAAAACCTAATAAAACAGAAAAAGTAAAGAAGAAACGGGCCAGGATAATTGAGCCGGTAGATTCCTCAGACGATGAGGCTCATTTACCTGTAAGTTTCTTTTAAATTTTTGTTTGATAATTTTTATACACAAAATTTGTGTGTGCGTATCTTGTTATAAATTTCTAATCGTTCTTTAAATTTTTCGTGTATCTGCAAATTATAGTTACCTGAAAGTCCAAAAAAATCGGAGGCTAACAACGCGGAAGCGAAGCCTGAAAGTGTAGACGAGTCCACCGAGATAAATAAAAACGTTTCGAGTAACGATTCAAACGAAAGCGCTTCGGACAATGAACAGAAGAATCAGAGCCCGAAGAAAGAATCTACGCCTGAGAAGTCACAGACTGCCTCGAAGAGTGACAGTCCGAAGAAGGAGCCTACGTCTGAGAAGAAGGCTAAGAAAGTGCATAACTTTTTCAGTAAGTATTCAATAGTTTAGAGATATGTTAAAGAATATGTTAAAGAATATGTTGAAGAGGCTGCGGATTGAATTTTAAAACACAGATTGAAATGAAGTCGAAGTTGTGTTCGCTTCAGCTGCATTATCCCAAGTAACAAGATGACGTCAAATGACGTTTCAATAACGTCTTATTGACGTTAGAAATGTTATTAAGACCATGTCATTAAGACCTTGTTACTAGGGATGTTCTTCTTCTTTTCCTTTTTAGCTGCATCCAATTTTTCATTTTTTTGTTTCCTTTCAGATGTGTCAGATTTTCCTTTTTTTTCATTTCAGCTGTACTATTTCCTACATGAGTGTTCTTTCTTCTCTTCTACAGCACCATTTACAGTTTTATCCTTTTCTTTTTTCTTTTTCCTTTTCCCAGGTGTATCTTTCACTTCTTTGCCTTTTTTGATACTCCAGGTGAAAGTTTACCTATAGTATTGCAAAAGTTTTTAAAAAATTTCGAATAGTTATTTGAATGTATCGTGTTGCAGTGCCTAAGCAAAAGGATGACACAAAGAAAGACAAAGTGAGCAATGGAAAAAGCGCCAATCAATCTTACAATCCCGGTGCGTCTGTCTACCATCCGATAGACGATGCTTGCTGGAAGCGAGGCGACAAGTGAGTTGGAATAAAATTTTGTTTTAGGAGATTTAGGAATACTTTAGGAAAATTCCATGAAAATTTTATGATACCGTGGAAATATTTAAAATTTTTCTTTGAAATTTCTTTACAGAACTCCATATAGCGCGTTTACGCGCACTTTGGAAATCATCGAGGAGACAAGTGCAAGATTAAAGATAATAGAGATACTGTCAAATTACTTCCGGTCTGTCATAGTCCTGAGCCCCGAGGATCTTCTGCCGAGCGTTTATCTGTGCCTTAACCAATTAGCGCCGGCATACGAAGGTCAATAATGACAATGATTATTTAAAAATGCAAGGAAAACAGCGATATCTATTGTTTGTCTAAAGGTAGCTATTTGAATTTTAGGAATTGAGCTTGGAGTCGCTGACATGAATCTGATGAAGGCGATAGCGCAATGTACTGGTAGAACAGTGACGCAAATTAAAGCCGACGTCCAGGAGGTTGGCGACTTGGGAATCGTGGCGGAAGGTAGCAGATCTAATCAGAGAACCATGTTTCAACCGGCGCCTTTGATGGTTTCCAACGTGTACTCCAAGTTGAAGGAGATCGCCCAGATGACGGGGCACGCGGTAATTCACGCAACTGTTATAGTATTCGAATTTTTTATGACTAATATGAATATATAAATATTCAGAAAATAACTCACAAAAAAAACCGAGAAAGATTGAGATATAAAAATTAATGAGTTATGTAAGAAGATCTTTAAGTTTATGCTATAAATTTAAAATTAATTTGTATTTAAAAACAGCACTAGTTATAGTATTACAACTGTTATGGTATTAGAACTTTTTATGACTAATATGAATATAATTATAATATTAGAATTTTTTGACTAAATGTGAATATATAAATATTCAGAAAATGATTCACAAAAAAAAAACGAGAAAGATTGAGATATAAGAATAAAGATACCTGAGTCATGTGAGAAGATCTTTAAGTTTATTATGCTATGAATTTAAAATTAATTTGCATTTAAAAACAGCACTAATTATAGTATTACAACTGTTATAGTATTAAAATTTTTTATGACTAATATGAATACAGTTATAATATTCGAATTTTTTGACTAAATATGAATATATAAATATTCAGAAAATAATTTACAAAAAAAACGAAAAAGATTGAGATATAAGAATAAAGATACTTGAGTCATGTGAGAAGATCTTTAAGTTTATTATGTTATGAATTTAAAATTATAATTTGTATTTAAAACAGCACTAATTATAGTATTACAACTGTTATAGTATTAAAATTTTTTATGACTAATATGAATATAGTTATAATATTCGAATTTTTTGACTAAATATGAATATATAAATATTCAGAAAATAATTCACAAAAAAAAACGAGAAAGATTGAGATATAAGAATAAAGACTTGAGTCATGTGAGAAGATCTTTAAGTTTATGCTATAAATTTAAAATGAATTTGTATTTAAAAACAGCACTAGATTAATTTCGATAAAAAAAAAAATTAAACGAGAAACAAAAATTCGTTTACTTGATTCGAGACAAAGATTAAATAATATTGAGAAACTGAAATATTTAAACAGAAATAAATAAGTTAAAAACTGCGTAATGTTTGCATGAAATTGAAAATTTTTTATGTACACAGTCTCTGTCGAAAAAGTTGGACAAGATTCAGACGTTGTTTGTGGCGTGCCGTAATACAGAAGCAAGATACCTTATTAGATCGTTGGCTGGGAAGCTTCGCATTGGATTGGCGGAACAATCCGTTTTGCAAGTAAGTCACACACGATATCACATTTTGTTTCACTTTTATTTTGATCAATATTATTGAATATCTGGATTTCCTTAGGCATTGGCTTTAGCTTGCGCGATGACACCGCCAGAACAAAAGTATCCACCAGAAATTTTGAACGCAAGCAAAAAGATGTCGAGCGATCGCTTCAAAGAGAAATATGATGAAATAGCGCTCATATTAAAAACAACGTATTGGTAAGATTATTTCGAAAATATTACTATTTTAAATATAAAAGTATATTTATATTAATTGAATTTAATTTCTCTGCCTTTTTGGTAATCTTATATTTGCTTGCAGTGAATGCCCGAATTACAATCTCATAATTCCTGTTCTATTGGAGGATGGAATTAATGCCTTGCCGAGCAAGTGCAAACTCACTCCTGGAATACCCTTGAAACCCATGTTGGCGCATCCCACTAAAGGTGTTCAAGAAGTCCTGACGCGATTCGAGGGTTTGAAATTTACTTGTGAATGGAAGTACGACGGGGAAAGAGCGCAGGTTGCCATTTATTCAGCTTTACTTGTATAATATGATAGATAATACTTTATTGCATAGAGAAAGAAATGAAATGTTTGAGAATTAATTCGATAAAAACATAGTAATTTAGAGTCAGCTGTTTAGTAGTAAGTAAAGTATTACAATTTGATAGATACACGTTGCGGATGATGAGCAAATCAATATATATAGTAGAAATCAAGAGAATAATACTAGCAAGTATCCAGATATCATCAAGCGATTCAAAAATACTCGCGGCGATCTGGTGAAGAATTGCATACTCGATTGCGAGGCGGTCGCTTGGGATAGTGAGAAGAAACAAATCTTACCGTTCCAAATACTCAGCACAAGAAAGCGAAAGGTAATTATAATGTGACTTTTTATTTTAATTACTTTGTAATTGTCATAACTTTATTGTCACTATGATTATAATTGGTACCAAGATTATAATTATAATTGTTCCCCAGAGTGATGTTCCATTTTTGTTCTTAGGACGCTAACGAGGACGATATCAAAGTACAAGTATGCGTGTTTATGTTCGATCTGCTATACCTAAATGATGAGCCGTTGGTGAAGGAACCGTTCGCGAAACGTCGTGAGTTGTTGAAGCAGCATTTCAAGGAAGTTGAAGGTGAATGGAAATTCGCCAATAGCATGGACACTACGACGATGGAAGAGGTGGAAGTCTTCTTGGACGAATCTGTGAAGGGAAATTGCGAGGGCCTGATGGTGAAGACGCTGGAAAAGGATGCGACCTACGAGATCGCGAAGCGATCGAGAAACTGGCTGAAGCTGAAGAAGGACTACTTGGACGGCGTCGGCGATACCCTCGATGTGATCGTAATTGGTGGTTACATCGGCAAGGGAAAGAGGACCGGCACTTACGGTGGTTTTCTCCTAGCTTGTTACGATCAGGAAAACGAGGAGTACCAGAGCGTCTGTAAGGTATGTCCTTGAAATATTTCTTTAACTTTGTGGATGTGGACAGGGAGTTGTATAGTTACTAGAAATTTTTGTCTATATTTAGATATTTGTAGCTTGTACTGATTTATATATGTATATTTTTTTTGTAAATAGATCGGCACGGGATTCAAAGAAGAAGATCTCGAGAATCACACGAAATTCTTCAAGGATCACGTAATACCGCAGGCCAAATCGTACTATCGCTTCGATAGCAGCCATGAGCCGGATCACTGGTTTGAACCAATTCAAGTCTGGGAGATCAAGTGTGCCGATCTCTCCCTTTCGCCTGTACACAGAGCGGCTATCGGAATAGTAAGTTTTCTAGAACAAATATTCGTAGAAAAATATAACCCTAATTGCGCTGAAAAAATTCATATTACGAGTAATGAGGAGGGAAGAGAGGGAAAAATCAAATTCGGCCGAGGCAAGATGTTGGTTATTTATTTATATTTTTAAATTTTTACATTTTTGAAGTTTAGCTACAAGCTGAAGTTAACGTAAAGTACCGATTACTGTCGGTTTTTAAGAACTCAATCAACTTAATAACTTAAATCGAAATAAATTAAAATAATATCGTATATTTGTTAAATTAATCTTCATTTGATGATGATATTACAAGTATTCTAAAATACTGTAAAGAACTTATTACGAAAAATATTACCTCAGGACTTGAATCTAGAACTCCCCGATCCTATCCGGAACGGGTGTTTTATCTATTCTATCATTAAAGATGTGGTAATATTTATCGCAATAACCAATATTTATTAGGAGAAACGCATTGAAAGGCTAGCGTATAAATAATCACAATACGATAGTATTGAAATTTAAACATTTAAAAATTAAAAATATTAGAAAACCAACATTAAGCCTCGGTTTCTTTTTCTGCTCATTATTTGTTGTATACATATGTCAGCCTTGTTTGAAATTATTGAAAATTGCTTGGCGTAATTTATTTAATTCTTTTATTTGCATTGAACAGTTTGTATTATCGCGGACTATACCGTATTTTTTCTGTTCTACTAACAAGGGTCCCTACCTGTCGGTCACTCTCCGAATTTAATGAAACTTTGTACATTTGTAGAGTTGGCAAAAATAATAGACACATTTTTTTATATCGGCAATGGTGTAGGTTTAAGGGTGCAAACTACCCCCTGTAGTGATAAGCACGAGTACTTAATTCTTTGCGTTTTGACTCACGGTAGATTAAAACTATTTTGGAATTTTAAAGATGATAAGAGGCTATCATGTTTTCTGAAAGCAAGTTTTCTATGTAAATATTATACAATTCAAAATTACGGATCCAATACGGTGATCTGATGATGAATTAAATAATTTTATTTCTTTCTTTGCCGAACCCAGGAATAACCAACGATTTTTAAAAAATATTTTTGTCAAGAATAGTTATAAAAAATAAAAAAAAACATGTAAAAAAGTATAAAAACATAAAAAAATAAAAAACAAAAGCAAAAAATCAACAAAATAGGGATAGACACTGATCATCTCCTCGTCGGTTATTTCTGGCTTCGGCAAAGAGTGAGATAAGATTTTTTAATTTATCAGATCGTATTAAATCCGCCGTTTTGAATTCTATAATATTTACATTGAAATTGTTTTTAGACAACTTGATAGCCTCTTATCAAAATCTCAAAAATTCCGAAATAGCTCTAATACGGAGTCGAAATGCAAGGAATTAAATACTCGTGCTTATCATTACAAGGAATAGTTTGCACCCTTAAACCTGCCGATATAATAAAAATAACTGTTTATTATTTTTGTCTATTCTACAAGTGTATCAAGTGTTTCATTAAATTCGGAGAATGGTAGGGTTCCTTGTAAGTAGAGACGATGAAAAATACAATGTTTCTGCAATTATTTTTTTCTTGGAATTCTTGAAATTTCTTTAATAGATAATACAATATAATAATAAATAATAATTTAATAAAAAGTTTTTGAATTAAAAGAAACCGATATCATTATATGTTTTGTATTTTTTCTGTTCAGGTCGATCCGGAGAAGGGAATATCTTTAAGATTTCCGCGATTTATCAGGATTCGCGAGGATAAAAATTGCGAGCAGGCTACTTCCGCTCAGGACGTGGCGGATATGTACAATAATCAGGAGCAGATAAAAAATAAAACTTCGGCATCGAAAATCACAGAGGAAGATTTCTATTAATTTTTCTTTTTTATTTTGCGACGCGCAGTTTTATCCAGTATAGCTTGTATTTTTTATAATCATTAATTTTGTAAGGAATATTGTAAATAAAATACATTTGACATGGCACACAAATTATGTAATTTTCGTTTGTGCCGTGTCTGGTAAACGGTTAATTAATACTTTATTGTTTATATTTCAAAATTTTCATGTATTATTAACAACGTTTGTATATCAATAATTTTGAAGATTTAATTAATAAAAGTTCTCAGTTCTGCAAATATTCCAAGGTACGACTTCTCGAAGGGCGGATATCGCAGATTCAATTATAAATGTGGCTTGTGATTTTTTGCTTCGTTTACATCTACAACGTGTACTTTTTGATGACGATGTGAACGCCCGGGAGAAACTAAAGGCCGGTCAATCGAATGGACATCATGTTGACTCCCTGCTGATTAATAATCGCAGCTTTTAATAATTTACGTCTATCACACATACCGCGAATGGAATGATTCACCTCAGCGATGCGTCGTATCTTTATCTAGGACGCTCTTATCCACTTATCTTATATTTGCCAGTGATAAAGCACCGTAACGTTAGGCAATGATGCTCGGGTACCTGTCGACGTTCCCGATCGACTAATTACGTTGCTTGTCGCGTCGCATCGTCCCCGAAATATTCGCCTCCCTTACGTGAATCGGTGAAGCGTGAATTCGCGACGGAGGATATCTGCCGCAAAAACGCAAGGAGATGATCGCCAAGAATACCGACCCGCCCTTCGAGAAGCGGATCAACGCCGTCAAATTCACGATTTTCTGCTTGAACGCAGTAATATGGGTGGGTGCGCGTGAAGTTATCGCGATTACTGCGTCGTCTTGTGAAATTAACACCGTGATAGTGAATTAATACTACAATCTATTTTAGGTGTGAATTAAAAAAAAAAAGAGTGAATCAAAGCAGTTTGCAGTCGGAAGACAATTGTGAAATGAAAAAATTAAGGCGTTTGTAATAATTGATATAATAGACTTCTCTCAAGAGTTTTCCAAGAATTTGTTTCGTAAAACATGAATCATTCTCTTTCTATTCTTTCTCTTATTTAAGAAAATTACTGAAACTGATTGAAACTCAGTAGGATAATCGATTGTTTCCTTTTAAATGATTTGATTTCTGATTAAATTATACATTCTTTTAGATATTTTTTAGATTACGTTCAATTTTGATATGCAGAAAGAAATTTAAATCAAACTAAAATTGAAAGCCGTACGATTTTATCATTTTGCCTTACACATAATAAATAAATGTAATATACATACAAATTTTTAATTGATAACTATATAAAAATAGAATTTTTACGGAAATGATAGAGATTGATTGAGCAGTTCATAAAATATAAAATTTAAGGTCCAAGCGTGATTTATAAAACTTCTTCGAATTTTTTTATAGAAGAAGAATAATCTCTTTATAAAGTTTCATTTAATTGATAAATTTTCATAATTAATTTATAAGTTTCTAATAAATTTAAATCGATTAATTTTTCTAATAAATATTTGGATGGATATATCTCTATTACACTATCACGGTTAATTTCTCATTGGAAGAATGATCGTTGCTGCGACTTTAAATTACCATGCAATTAACAAAATTTTTGCCGTTTGGCGAAAGATCCTGGGATGCGCGATGTTCGGACTGTCAATCTGGATGCGGTTCGAGCCGATGTTCGAGGAGTGGGTGGAGTTTTTGAACATGTATGAGTTCTACATCGGGATTTACGTGCTGGTCGCTACCTCGGTGCTTATCATGGCCATTTCCTTCATCGGCTGCGCTGCCGCGCTTATGGAACACATCATGACGTTATACACTGTAAGAACGCTTATCAGTCGGGCCAATTTCTCGAAAGGAAAGAGCATTTCGAGAGAAAATTGATTTGCAAATTGCTTAGAAATCCGACTTTTGCGAACTATGTAAATTAATGTTTCGGAAAAAAAACATAGGTCTTTTAAAATCATTTTGTCGCAAATTAATTATTCCATAATTATTCAAATACTGATTAATGACACAGTGCTTTGTGAAAAAAATGCTCGTTTTGTTTTACAAACTGAGATATGTAAGATCGAATCTTTTCAGGATACTTTCTTGAAAGTAAATTCCTCTCACTTAATATTTAATTCAAACAATTATTTCCAACGCTATAAAAAAAAAACTTTTTTAAAATCGATTGAAACTAGAAAATTAGTTTTTCGCGATTACAAGAAATTCGATGTTCGAAGAAGCGCATGAAAGACCTTCCATTTTAGCACGTGGCTCTCCAAGCCTTCAGCTTCATCTGCTGTCTAGCCGGAGCGGCGGTCATTCTCGATTTTTCAACGTACGACAGTAAGATTCAGCCCATCATCGAACGGTCCATGTACAACCTGATCAGCAACTCCCATCACGACACGGCGAGCTTCATCCTGCGAGTAATCCAGGAAACCGTAAGTCAACGTTGTGCGACCTTTCTTTAGATGGGAAGATAAACGAGGCCTCGTTTCTCACGATTATGCATCTTCGACGAATAATGCGTTAGGTCGGATGCTGCGGGGCTGACGGACCCAGGGATTACACGCAGATGCGTAAACCGCTGCCCACCGAGTGCCGGAGCACCGTCACCGGGAACGCCTTCCATCACGGCTGCGTGGAGGAATTGTCCTGGTTTCTGGAAGCGAGATCGGGATGGCTCGCCGGTCTCGCGATGGCGTTGTGCATGCTCCATGTAAGAAGGTCTTTTCTTTTTACCTTCATATTGCCCCTTTCTTGAAAGATGAAGAATAAACGTATACGATTTGGACGTTGGTAGTTCGACTATAATTACATCGCAGTTGCAATCTCCGCCTCTTACTCTAATTATATTCAATAGAGAATGACAATTTTCATTCGTTTCGTGCTGCTTTACTTCCAATTATTTTTCTTATTATTGCAGGTGCTCATAGCGGTGCTGTCGCTGTCGCTTGTACGTCTGATCAAGAAGGAACAGGATTACGTAACACCGTACAGACGTTAGGCATCAATTCATCGTCTAACGACGGAACAGTGACATATTATAATATATTAATTAGCATAATTATATAATTTTTTTTACAAGAAAAGAAACAGAAAGTTATAAATTCTATCAAATTGCGATTTTCGCGAGTATATATACTTCAAAAAAGTGACAAGGATATGTAATCAGGGATATATAATAATTTCTGCGTTTGTATCTTTTAATTTCTAAAGCTTTCAATTTTTAAAGCTAAAACAAAATTCGATTTTCTTTATAATAAATCTTCATGAGTTTAAAGTTGGCTTGAGATTCGAAACGAAATGGTACGTACATATACATCGTCACTGCTTTATAAAGAGCCTAAAATTACATTTTAATTATCGCTAATTAATTGCGACAAACATTCATGCGTTTCACTTTAATCAAGTACTTTCAGCACATTCAATTTGCTCTCCTATTAACATTTTTGTAATTTTGTACATCTTTTTTATTCCCTTGCATGATTTATACTTATAACTTAATCTTTACAAAAAGAGATTTATATATGGAAAACAGAGAAAGAATGCATAAATAAATTAAGTTGCTTAATAATTATTAAATACCAATATAATATAATCGAACAGTTATTGCTAAAAATGAGATATTATCTCTGATATTCAACGTAAAAATTCGCGACAATATATTGATAATAAAATAAAAAAAGAATAAATGAATACAAAAGTAGCTAAATCGAATTATGATTTAATAATTATCGTGAATAATCACATCGTTTATAATATTATATGTGTAAGAAGTAACATTCCGATTTTTGCTGGAAAATGAAAATTTTAAATTCTACATCGTTTCAATTTAACGTATTGATCATACTCGCTTTTGTAAACTGTTAAATCATATTGTTCATTTTATTATACGTACGTTGTACACTTAATTAAAATTTACGTTATATTAACAAATTACTTAATACCTTTAATTTCCAATCTTTTCTATTCTGATATCTGGATTTATTGCGACGTGATAAGTGAATTCCCGTTTTCGCTTTATTTATTTACAAAAAATACGCGATATACATACACAATATATGATATACAATATATATATTATAATCAATAATTTATTTACAATAATGCCGTTCAATTGCGATCATCGCCGTTTTATTGTATCGAATAGTTCAATGCTGTAAATTTGCCATTTTTTTCGTCTAACATGCAATGTTAGACCGCGTCTTTTATGTTCTATTTTATTTATGTAATAACGTATATTGACCTGTTTATTACATAATTGCAATTATATGTATAAGGCACGTTCGGGAAGCACGTCGTCAGCACTATCACGTCATTCTATCTTTATCATTCATTAAGATAAGAATAGAATGACGCGATAGCGCCGACAGGCATACTCCCCGAACGCGCCTATATATTGGAGAATTGTTGGTCTATTAAAAAACACTGTAAATTTGCAATGCTGGCTTCGATTCTTATTTTTATTTTGACATGAATAAATTTATTAAAATTTATTTAAAAAAATAAATTTTTTTAATTTAACACATTTTTTATTAAAAATTTTAGATAAGTAGAATATTTAAATTTTAGTTAAGTGAATAAATTTATTAAAATTTATTTTAAAAAATAAATTTTTTAAATTTAACACATTTTTTATTAGAAATTTTAGATAAGTAGAATATTAAATTTACAATCATTATATTATTTATTAAATGTCCAATTTTCGCTATGGCAATCAATGCAAAATGAACGTGCGAAATATATAATGTACTTTTATCGGAAGAATTAGCAGAAAATATCCATGAAAAAAATAAATGTTTAAATTGTTTATGATCGTAGCGCTGTTCGTAGAGGTTCATTGTAAAAAGAATTATGTTCTTTCCCTTTATATAATTATAAAAATCAATAAATCTAATATTTTGTTCGAAAGAGAACGAATCTACCTGGCGATTGATCGCAATCGAAATGGACCGCGAAGGGCTTAAGGGGTACAAAGGTCGGATCGAGATCTAACCGACGAAGGGGAAGGGGGGATAGGCCACCGGCGCCGGATAGTAACCGGGATACGCCGGCACTGTCGGCTGCACCGGCACCGTGTTGGTGATATAGGTAGTGAGTTCGGTAGGCACGACCCTTGTGGAGAAGAGGGTGGTGTAGGCGGTTTTGGCGCCGAAGGTGAGCTTTAGCACCCGCGAATCGGACACGGTGGCGAGAGTCTGGGTGACCAGGGGCGCGCTCGTCACCGTGAATTGCTGCTGCTGCGGGAACAGCGGCAGCTGCGGCACCTGCGGCACCTGCGGCACTTGCGGCTGCAGCACCGGACTCAGGGTGGACGTGCCGTACTCGTAGGACGTCCTGAAGCAGAGAAATGCAATCGAAATTAGAAATTATGTATTATAATAAAAAGTGTAAAATAATTTAATGAGATATTTAAATATAATGAGAATAACTGAGATTCATTCAAAATATAATATAATAATGGTAGAGCATAAAATGCTTGCAATAGATCGACGCGTATAATTTATTAAATATTCTAAATATCAGTATTCAATTATTTATTATTATATTGAAATTCCGCTCGAGGTTAATAAACGCAGGACAAAAGGAACGGCCAATAATTCGAGTAAATAAGGGTATTAAAAATTAATAATTTATTACATATATAGTACCGTGCGCTTACTACATGTAATAAATTATTAATTTTTAACCATCTTATTTGCTCAAATTATTGGCCGTTCCTTTTGTCCTTTGTATTTATTATTCTTTAAATGTCCAATTTTGTGTACCTCTATTATATATATATAAAGATATTTCGCTTAGTAAAAGTATTTGGATATAGGAGATACTGACTTAGGTATGGTGCCGACTGGCCTGGTCAGCGTGGAGTAGATGGTATTTCCCGCGTTCACCACGGGAATCACGTGCGATTCGTATAGCGTCTCCAAGGTGATTACCGGTCTGGAGGTAGTGATGACCTGGGGTTGCGGCTGACCGAAGTATTTCAGCAGAGCCAGCTGTTGGGCCTGCTCCGGAGTGAGCTGAGGCTCGGCGTTGCTGCTGGCCGCGGCGTCGTTTTTCACCTTGGACGGCGACGGCGACTTGAAGATGTCCAGATCGCCGTCGGAATCGTTGTTGGGCACCACCACCCTCTTGGGCACGTCCTCGTCATCGCGATCGTCGTCGCCAAAATCAAGCTCGAGGTGCAGCTCGCTGCCGGCTTCGTCGAGCTTCGAGTTGAACTCGTTCAGCGTCTTGCTCGGAATAAACTGATAGATCTCCATCGGCGGTAGCGTCTTCGTCGCCGTCACCACACGGGCGATGTTGTATGTTTGCACCAGGGTCAGCCGAGTGGTGCTGTTGCCGGCGTAGATCACCGGCAGCATATGCGTCTTCAGCAACGTCTGCGTCGTCGAGAACGTCTCCGTCAGCGTTTCCAACGGCGGCGTCGCCTGTGCGGCGTCCAGGGAGATCGCCGGCAGAGTCGCGACGGACGAGTCTAGCGGCAGGGTCGACTCGTAGGCAGCCCCAGTGTTCGCCAGGATGTTCTCCGTGAGCGGTTCGGTGGGCGAGACCGAGCTGCTCGGCTCGGCCGTCGCGAACGTTTTCTTGAGGGTGGAAGTCACCGTGATGTAACGGGTGTTTCGAAGTGTTCCCACCTGAAGAGTGTTAACGTCTTGAGTTATTAGATCTAGTATTTAGTGATTATATATGATAATCCGTAGTCGATCATGGAAATAATTTAAGTAAAAAAATAAAAATAAAAAAGATAAATGTGACAAACCAAAGGCTAATAATTTTAATTAATTTTATTATATACAATTCTCTTTCCAGCATTTAATCTAATTGGTAAATAAATAGATGAAAAATAAAATTAAAAAAAAAAGAACTCACCTGGTAAGAATAAGGTGATTTGATAGTGGCAATCTCGAAATATATATTATCGAGATCAGCTGCAGTAGAGATCTCCACGTTGAGCGTTTCCACCGGCAGGATCTGTTCTCCAGGATGCTGCTGCTGCTGTTGTTGATCCTGTTGCACCCTGACGGTGGCCACGTCCTCGCTCTCACTGGGATCTAACTCGTCCTCCGTCAAGGATAGCTCCTTTCTCTGGGCAACATTGGCGCCACTCGGAGCAACGTTGATCGTCGTTGCTGTCAACGCCGCCGTCTTGCCTTGCTCGTCAAAGACCGCCCCGAGAAACGATTCCATCGTGCTCTGGGGCTCGGCCGTCGACGTTCGCAAATCATCCTCGTCCACCTGCTTGCGAATCATGATCCTCGGTTTCGGCGTGGTCTTGTACGACCAGCGACCTTGCGTCCTCGGTAGCTTCACCTTGGGCAGAAGACTGACCGTTGTTGACGGCTGCTGATCGCTGTTCTTCGACTTCGTCGACTGTTTCGAGGGCGAGTTAGTGGACTGATTGTTCGGCCGGAAACCGCTGCGACGACGAGTGGGAGCTTCAGTGGTGGTGGTCGCGGGACGATTTCTGAAGAGATTGGAGATTTATTATTGGAGAGAATTTTATTTTAAAATTTACCCTGAAAATCATGTTAATCATAGGACAATATAGTATTTTGACGAATTTTATGTGATTTTCACAATTTTTTAAATATATACTACAAAAAATTTTGTTGTAGTGCACAGTAAAATTTATCAAAATATTATATTGTCCCACGATTAACATGATTTTCAGGATAAATTTTAAAAGGAAATTCTCTCCGTATGTATATAAGAGATTCACTTCGTGTCAAATTATTTTATTATATTTCCTAATTTATAGAAAAAAATTAATATTTGTTCGACAAAATAAGGGAGAAAAGACTTTATAAATTACTTATTAATTTTATTCTTTTCTATTCCGTCAACGACACTTACTTATAATTTGGTCGCGTTGTGCTGCCGGAGCGATTCTTTCCGGTCCTCGTTTGCTGTGGTTCGCTGTTATCGTATTCATCGGCGATTTTGTTTCGGAATTTGGGTCTGGACGGATTGGGGGTCGAGTGTCTTCGCGTCGTTCGCACTGGAGTGCCTAATTCGGAAATTAATTAGTATAAATCTGTTCCTCCAAGGATTAAGAAAATTTTTATATTATAAACTGAGATTGTGAAATTAATAAAAAATTTTTTGTTTTTATATTTTATATATCCCTTTATTATTGTTTATGCAATAATTAAAATCGTTGATTAATATTTTTTATACGTATAGTTATTGAGCTCATAATAATTATTACACGATACAAATTACATTACTTTGAAAGTGAAATAAACTAAAATTTTTGGAACTAATAAAAAATTAAAAATCTTTTATTTCTAGAGTTTAAAAAATTTCTGTACTAAAAAAATCTTATCACACATAAGACACAAATATTGCGTTTTTGTATACAAAAAAGTCATTATATTATATATTAAAATTATCTGAAGAAAGAATTTAAACGCGACATAAAAAAATGTATTAATCACCTGAGGGTCCGTTGAAGAGAGCCTCCAAGGGCAGCGAAGACTCCTCCTGTTGATGGGTCGGGGTAGGTTCCAGCTGAGGCTTGAGCTTGCCATGCTGAGGACCGATGGTCTTCAGAATGCGGTTGGTGTTGGTGGGCCGAATCTTACCCTCAGCCACCGGTGCGACCGGCTCTGTCAGGATTCTTGACGAGCTCTGCAGCACCTGGGCATACTTGCCGTTGATGTAAGTCCCGATCACGCTGGTCTCGTGCACGGTGGTAAGCCCGTCTTTCACGATGGTGCCGCCTAACTTGGTCACCAGACCGGTTGGGTTCTCTTTATCTCTTCGCGGGGTGGCACGCGGCTTGTGAACCTTCGACGAGGGTCGCAGGTTGATCAACTGTCAAGAACCAGGATTATACTTGAAAAAAGCCGCATCATTGAGGATTATCGATAATAAGTCTGTGTAGTAAGCAATTGTATAATATAATAATAATTGAATAATTTTAATCTGAAATTTGTACAAATTTAAAAATTTGTTAAATAACATTCAGGAGATGGACTTTAAGTTATATTGCCAAGCGAATTGTAATAACAATTATATATTGGCGAAATAATTTTAATTTAATGTCATTTTTAATATGTTTTTTAAATTTAATAAAAAAAGATAGAGTTAAAATTAATTTTTCATAGTACAAGACGAGAGAAAAAGAGACAGAAAAGAGTTCGTGATAAAAGCCATAATGACAAATATTTTAATAATAACATATGTAACAAAGAGTATGATATAATAAAATAATAACTTGATTTAAATACAACAAGACATCCGAGATGCAGGAAAATATCGCTGGAAAATATTGTTGGAAAAGCGCGTTCGTCGCGCCTCGCGGGTGAAACCGATTTATCGGTGGGATCGGATCAGACTTTCACGCCGATCGCCGCGGTTGAAAGACGGACGGGAAGAGGGGAGGGAGGAGGGAGCAGAGCACTAGAAAGGATCGGCCTAGGAAATCGATTACGGCATGCGGAAAATTACGCCGACGCGGTTATTCCGAATAATTCCGTGTCGGCTTCGCGCGCGAGTTAAGTCGTGAAAGTCGCTAGCGGGACGCCCGTTGCGCAATTTTACGGCAACGCCGAGTATTTCCGCCCCACGACCTTCTCACCCCGCTGGCCAGATGACCCATTTTTTTTTTCATTCGGGCGTTCAGGGTTAGAACGCTTTCGGGAAGTCGGGAAAACGACAAAACTCGTTTTAATAGCGACGACGTTCGCGTATGTATATATACGTCGGGGGACGCGATCCGGTTTGGCGCGCAATTAGGCGCGCGATATCGAAACCAGATTCGCAATTTTCATTTCTCGCGGCTCGCGTTCACGCGCGCCGAAGATCAATGTCGCTTTTGTAAACAGGATACCTGACTTCTTTCCTATACCTACGCGATCTAGCGTGGAGAATTAATCGCGGATTTCGCGAGCGCGAAATCGTTGGCTGGATTCCGAAAGAGCCAATGTCACATTTCTGTCGAATTGGATCAGATTTTAGATATTTTCTCTTTCTCCAGGTAAATACGAATGGACGTTACAAGACGCAAAATTCTCGTGAAAGATACATTTATTTCCGCGGTCTCTTAAAAATAAGTCATCGATTTGGCCAAAAAGTTAGCGAAGACAAATTACAGGGAGGTTTTGGTGAATTTATAAAAAGTATGACTAATTCGATTAAAATACCATTAAAATGTCATTCAAATGTCAAAATGTCAGAACGTCGCTGATAATTTAGAGACAGAAATATTTTATATTTAAAAGTATTATTTTATATCGTATATATTTAATTTTAAAGTGGATAATAATACGTTTCTAAATATGTCATTTTCTCCACTTATTTCATCAGGTAGAGAAAGCAGATCTGAGAGTCAGTTGGTCCAGTTAGAAAATATTAAAAGGAGGCCAGGAAGGCATTATAAAAAAGGCGTAAAATGTAATTGTCGTGTACAGTAATTCTAAAACATGATATAAAATTAAATAGTGTCTAAAATTACATATTCCGAAGTTTCGAGAACGAGGAAACTGATAATTTATGGCATTTCCTTTACGTTCGCAATTTAAATCAGTTCTCTAATCTGACATCTTACGTACTTTGTATGTCTCGTCGATCACTTCCGTCGGCTGCTTTGAGAGAAAATCGTATTCCGGTTCGGCGAGATTGTTCTTCACTCCTGGAGTTTCATCCTTGGCGCGTACCTGAACTACCGACGACAATGCAGGTGCTTTCGTCTGTTTACTTGGCTCCTGAGGAATCACGCAAAATGATTAGGCCGCCTTTTCAATATATAGCGCCTTATAATTTGTGTATAACAATATATTTATTACAACGTATTTCTAACAAATTAAACTGTAATAATATATATAATTTTAATATATAATGATTAAGGGGTTACACCACCTTGACCGCCTAAAAATCAATCGGTAACTTTGGGAATTTTTTTTAGGAAAACAATAAAAGTAACAAAAAATTCGTTTTAAGGTTTTAATAATACAAGTCTTTAGAAGTAAAAAATATTTTTTTTATTTATTTTTTTAACAAAATAGCGACGCTGAAGCCAATTTACTAAACGTCGTTTTGTCAAATCGGCGTTGCGGGGATCTGCCATTCGATTGAACCTGGAGCAAAAAACCAAAATTTTTTAAAAACTATATAATATGCACTACAGAAGTACATACGGATATTTCAATATGTTAAATACTTTTTTTTTATTTAACATTTCTTGACAAAATTTTTTGGCCGAAAATAACTTTTTTTTCAAATGCTCACAATTTTTATAAAAATCTATATTTTAAAATATCCGTATGTACTTCTGTAATATATATTATATAGTTTTTAAAAAATTTTGGTTTATTGCTCCAGGTTCAATCGAATGACAGATCCCCGCAACGCTGATTTGACAGTAGCTACAAAAACGACGTTTAATAAAATGGCTTCAGCGTCGTCATTTTATTAAAAAAATAAATGAAAAAAGTATTTTTTACTTCTAAAGACATGTATTATTAAAGCTTTAAAACGAATTTTGTATTACTTTTATTGTTTTCCTAAAAAAAATTCCCAAAGTTACCTATGATTTTTAGGCACTCAAGGTGGTGTAATCCCTTAAACCGCTTTTTCAATACATAATTTGCCTTATAATTTGCACAATTTATTACAATAATTTAATTTCTGGCCAATAAAACTGTAATAAATGTTTATAATTTGAATATACGATCATGACAAAATAAAAAAATTCTAGCCGCGATATACTGTACGTGTTAAAGTTACGTCACGCAGGATGTCTCTCATACATATTAAAAGACTATATAAGGACATTTATTAAAAACAAGTCGATCTGAAAGTAGCCGAAGAATTATGCGTTGACGTAATGTAACGACCGGACGTCCTGCGTATAGCGTCATTCCGTTCTCACCTGACTCTTCGACGGATTCACCACGTTCTGCTCGACCACGGAATTCACGACGATCTTCGTACCCTTTATCTGCTTCTTCGTCTCGCCGCCCTGATCCTCGGCCTTGTGGGTCTTGCTGGGCTGGATGTCGGGGATATTTTTCTTCGGCTGCTGCTCCGTCGTCGGCTTCGTCTGAATCGCCGGCGTGGGGGACGTGGTCTTCTTCCCGACGTCACCTTCTGAAAACGAACGGCGCATTTGCATACCCGACGAGAATAAAAGTTGCGCTTCTGCGAGGCCGAATGATCTCGCAGAAAACAAGACTAAAAAAGAGCATATCCTGACGGCCAACACCCGCGCCGAAGGCCTCGGCCAAATTCCTTATCCCTTGGAGAGAAAGGATTCGAGGGGTCTATGTGAAAATCTCATTCCTCGACTCTCAATTTCCAAGCGAACGAAAATTAATCCAAATGAGTTGAAAATTGCAATTCATTTTAATACATCCGAATTGGCGCTAGAGTCTGCAGATATATGTCTTCATGTTCGTATTATATTATTTTTGAATTCAAATAAATTGATATATGAAATGGGCTATTCATCATGTTGAATTCGGATGTATTCATGTCTGTATTATATTATTTTTAGACTCAAATAAATTGAAATACGAAATGAGCTATTCAGCATATTAAATTCTGATGTATTTATCATGTCAATATTATATTATTTTTATATTCAAATGGATTCAAAAAATCAGTAGAGCTATAATTAAAAAATGTCGAAATGAATTTATTTCTATATCCATTTCAATTTATTTTTGTTTGCTTTTATTGTGCGTTTGGATTTATTGTGCGCATTATATAATTTTTTAATTTTCACATTTAAATTGCATTCTTATATTTTATTGTAATTTTTTTAATGTTGAAGATCTACATTAGGGTACAGCGGGTTAATTTGAATAGTGGAGTAATTTGAGTAACAATAAGCATTTGCAAGAATTTTAGAAAAATAAGAGATTTTAAGACATTTTTATATATTTTATTAGATCAGACATTAATCTAATGAAATTTATCTTAAATGTATCTTTTATTTTTCTAAAATTCTTGTAAATGTTTACTGTTATCCAAATTATCCCACTATTCAAATTACCTTGCTGTATACTATCCTACCTCCTATATACTATCTTACCTCCTATACACTATCTTATCTCATTAATTATATTAGTTATCGCGTATTATTTTACTTTATTTTAAATTCGGTGATTAAACTGACGTCAATTTTCAGTTGCTATTCGCGGCATTATTATATCATAATTATTTTCTTCATAGAATATTTATCTCCGTTTCGAGAAAAGGAAGCAAAGTACGTAGTTTTATGCTGAGTGGGTGGCTTAAAAAGTCAAGGAGAGGAGATGACAAGAGGGTTCATGACGAATGAACAATGAGCATGATCTGTACGCGGAGCTGGACAGCGATATGCTAAAGAGGATTGGTCTCCGACTCCCCTCGCCAAGGCCCACCTTGAGTACAGTATACTCTTTAGCGTTTCAAGGTCTCATCCTTACTTGTAAGGATCAGAGTTCGTGAACGAGCACGGCGTAACAAAAAGGTGTCGATTGCGCTCAGTTAGAAAGTAATTTCTGGCATTATCCACAATTCAAAATCGCATGACACCTCATGGCTACGAATACCAATTGCGGCGAATCTTCAGCTGCTTCGCCGATTGCGACAGCTCTCGGTATTTGTTTCTTTTCGCTGCGAATTTTCTCTTCAAAATTTCTCAATGAAAATTCACTATCGCATTGATAGTTGATTTTCGGATGATTATATCAATAATTAAAATAAATATTTTCTTTTAAGTACTTACCCATTAGCTGTAAGTACATTAAAAGAAAGTTAAATTTGATGGTATAAATTCATTACATCAACAATTTTCAGACGAGCCGAATTAATTGTATTTTAAATCAAAATTTAAATATTTAAAAGTTATTTTAATTTAAATTTCAAAAATTATTAATTTTTATACTTGTTTATTTTTTTATAATTTTAATTATTTTTACTTAGTACACTGTTAAATCTATATCATCAAATTTAATCTTATTTAAATCGCTATTGTTTCTATTTAATGAATAGTTATTTTTAACTAAAATAATGGAGTTAAATAATTTAAAACAGTTCAAATTTAAGTTAAATTCCATTGTTTCATTAAAAAATAACTATATATTAAGTAGAAGCAGTGGCAACTTAAAGTCACTATTATAGATTTAACAGTGTATTAAAAATAATTTTTTCATATCAAACTTTATTAATTATTATTGCAATAATATTAATGTATACTTGCAATAATATTAATGTTACTTCAAATTTTGGAAATTTTCTAACATAATTATTCGAGTGTAATTAATAAATAAAAATTTGCAGAGACGTTTGTACCTGGAGGAGCGCTCTGGGGACTGAAGACCATCACCGTGTTGCCGATCGTCGTGGTGAAGTCCAGGAAGCCGTAGACAGTTTGCGTGACAAAGTCATTGTTTGTGGTTGCTGGCTCGATCGCTGCAACTGCATCCTCCGAGTAGCCGTTGTAAACTTGCGCGGCGGACACTGCAACTGAAGTCGCGCGGGCTCACAAATATCTTCTTTATGTTGCAATCCGCGGTCCAAAGATCAATTGTAAAAAAAATTCCTCTAACAATCGATAGTAATATTAATGTAATCATTGTAATCTTATTGGATCTAAAACGGCGCTCTCGAGGAATTAATAAAAAGGAATTGATGAAAAAGCGAAACGTTATGCTTTTTGGCTGCGATAATTCTTTTTGCTTGCGACGCGGTCGATCGCGAAGATTTCAGGCGCGGTCCTTGAAACGGGAAGCGCTTTTACTCAAAATTCTGCGTTTATCGGCGATGATGTCAGTTCACTCACCATACGCTAGAGCTGCGACGAACACGAAGTATCTCGATGTCATTGCGCTCAGTCTGATCTCATCCTACGCGGGCGTACACGGAATCTCGCGGAATCTGCAAGAGTAAATGAGAAAAATGGAACATGAGAAAAAAATGTCCTCGCTGCCTTAATTATTCTTCGTATAAGATAGTATCTTGATGCGTATAGTGCTTGACACATGTAACCATATGTCGTCGTAATAGCTTCATTTTTGGACGACGTGTATACGCAATAAAAGTACATTCGCGTCACCGTTGGACGCGAAATGTAAAAGCGAACGGGAATATAGGAAAATATCGCGAAGATACACGTCACAAATAATTATAACGCTACCTTGCGATTCCGACGAGACCAAATAATTCGCGAGTTACATTCATCATGTAATATAGTGTAATATTTTCTACGATTATGGGAGAATCGAGCGGTGATTCTCAGGCAATTACGCAATTATTGCAGTTGCACGTGCAATCGGCCACTTAACAACCGTCTCCTGATGGGACGGGATAAAAATTGCGTGTTACATCAGCCGCGTAAATATGACACATTACCGTGTTATTTTGCAAAGCACCGTTACTTTTCCTTCTCCCTTAACAATTAACGATTATGTAAAAATGCCGGCGGATTCCGCCTCATTAGAAGTAACGTCTTGCCGATTATCGACGCGCGCTCGTCTCTCTTACGGGGATTGCTAATTATCAATTCACCTACGCGAGAGTTCTCGTCCTCGGATTTACGCAGTTCATCTCCATCTCTCCGCGGAAGAAATATTTCAACAGACAGTGGCATCGACGCGCGCGTTTCATCGACGATTTAATGACACCTATTCGATTGTTATTATTGTAATAAATTTCTCTTCTTAACATATGTTTGTTTCTGCTTAATTAAAAATTGAAATTAAATGAAATTTAATTTAATTTCACTTGCGTTCAATTAAATTAAAATTTAATTTATAATTAAATAAATTTAAATTTTCTAAAAATTATTACACAGCAACATCCGTGTTGGCTCGCATAGGCGTTACTTCGATATTGTAGATTTTTTCTTGACAAGCTTTAATGACTTTAAATGTATTAAAATGATTTATTTCAATAAACAAGAAACTTTTATAGTCGTTTGATTATTTCCTGGTTTCGGTATATTTTAATAGTTCCCCGATATTTTAATCCCTTTGACAATTTTTTTGTGGATAACGCTTTCATTCACGTAAAACATTGACATTGTCCATCGAATTTTAATTCGCCGCAATTCGTGCGCCGGCGAGTGAGAAGGATATACAAAGAGCGCGATTTCGCGATCTGTGCGTGAGGCAATCGGGAGTGTGTCGCAAGTTAAAAAAATTTCCTTCTCGCCCGATCGCTATCTCGAGCTGTGCTCGAGCATTGAGCATTGTGAGGCACGAGCACGTTCGGAAAACATCCTGTGTGAGGCAAACGTATAACAGCGACGCTAACACAATCGCGCGCGGCGCGGAAAGTGCGCGCTCGCCCGCGCCCGACAAAATCGTTACGTAACCGCGTAACCACCGCCTCGCCGGTAATCGTTTTAAGAAGCCGAAACAATGGTAAGAGGCGCCTTCGGTGAGTAGGCACGACCGGGGCATCTGTAATTAGGGCCCGAATCGGGCCAGATCGAGGGACGCCGACGCAGCTATGCGCGCCGCCCGAAAAGCGCAACGCGCTTTTTTTCTATTCTTATGAGCGCGTCGTGTGCCGTTACAGAACGCGCGCGCGCCGTTACATCGCCGATCGCTATACTATACTGGGTGTACCGGACGCTCCTCTAACCACGGCAACCTTGAATGCGAAGACAGTACTTAGCGGAGCCGTCGAGAGGGAAATATAACGTTCGTCGCACCTTTCCAATCGCAATGCATTCTCTCCCTTGAGCCGCGAATTACAAGATCGCGACTTAGAAGCCCGCTCCGACGCCGGTCGAGCTTGTCTCATCGACTTTCCTTGCCGAGCTCATAGGAAGTCTCTCGTTCCCAATTCTTATAATCGCTCGTCGGATATTAACACGCAACTTGCGAATTCTAATTTTCTTCAGTTCTCAATTATTCATATTGCGGCTTACGTATCTTTCATTGCGAGACCCGCTCGACCGTCACTTTCGCTGCTTTCCTTTTCATATATATACACGTCGGCGAAGCGCGAAATGTTTACTTCCGTCGCAGGAGCGAGATCTTTATTCGAGCCCGGCGGGGAGCCTTTTTCCTGGAGACCCAGAATCGCAATCGGGTGAATCGGAGTAGCGCGGCGCGCAGCATCGCGGAATCGCGAGAGCGCTCCTTTCACCCGCGCGTGTTCTCACTCACGAGCCGCGCCGCGGCTCGGAACCCCGGCGAGCCGTATAATAACGGCTCCAGCTGAAACTGAAAAGCGCGAGCGCAAACGCTTCTATCGCGGGAACCTGATTCTGATGATAGACTACGCGGCGAATTATCGTCGCGAGAGGCGAGTACGGGATTGTGTGAGAATTTGTACGGCTCATAAACGCGACCTGCCGAATGGAGAATTTACTCCTCGCTATAAAAGCGATTGATTTTTAATTTATCGGTCATCCGCAGCGATATCTTTGGAAAAGCGCAGAAAAGATCAGTTTTGCGTTAAAGAAATAATTGTAGATATAACGATACAGAGCGTTACAATCGGTTTGACTAACAATTGTAATATAATTAATATATATAGCATATGTAGTAATTATAATTATAATAATTAATTATAATTTTATATCATAATAATTAATGATTGATAATAATTTTCATGTTCTTTTATACGCTGAGAAAAAAAACTGATTGCACAAACTAAATTTGTATTGTTGTTTGATCCAATGGTTGATTCAACAATTCTTTAGTTGCATAAAGAAAAGTATATAGTTCATTCATGTCAGCCATCAAAATTTTTTAATCAAGAATTAAACTAAACCAACTCCATTAAATTATTTTGTTCGAAATACTAGTAGTATTTATTTGTGTTTGCATGCTATTTAGTTATCCAAGTAATATATTTGTTCAAATTCCAAATATTAAACTGACTAAACGATGCTGATGAGGATAATATAAACAGTGTGTATCTTTAATCGAATGGTTGAGTTAAATACGATAAATTTTTGTTGAAACAAAATACTTTAGTTAAAAAATATTTTGTTTATTATAGTAACAAATTATTTTGTGCCATCGTAGTAACGTTTAGTTAATCGTATCGGACTAAATATTTTGGTAAGATGAAACAAGTTTCGTGTTTTTCAACAAATTTTTTTTCTCAGTGTTCATATATATATATATATTATACTTAATACATTATAATTTTATGTTTATTGTTTCATCAATCAAAGCTTCGCGGATTCGTACGTGTCATGAATGAAAATAGTAAAGGCCGAGACAAGGCAGAGCCGAAAATAATCACCTCAAGAATTCAAGGTGTTTACGGAGCAACGGCGACGAGTCATTCTCCGGCTCGCGCGAAGGTAAAGAGGAGTGGCCCTACTCTCTCGCTCTATTCTGCTCTAGCGTGTATATACACATACGCGCATACGTGCGCGGTATGTGTAATGACCTGTAAGAAAAAAAGAAATACCGTGCTGCAACGCGCGTAAATCTCGGTCGACTGAACCCTTTCCCCCGCGCGTCCGCGCGACTCTTTCTTGCGATCGAGATGTGCTTTCTTGCGGAAAGAATCGCAAAATGTACAATGCAATATTCCATCACGCGCAAGGAGAAGAAACCTTAGTGTGATTCACGTTTTAAAAATTTATACTTAACTCCGTTCATGAGATAAACTCTTTCTCTCTCTACTGTTGTTATGTTTTTTTAGCGTGATTACGTAAAACCTCGTTACATTCCTATTTAATTTATCCAATTAACTGAGAGATTATAAATTATGCGCAAATAGTCAGAGATAAAGACTTCCTTATGGAAGACATTCCACATTCAGAGCTCCTTTCCCGTGGATGTGGAATTCCACACTCAGCATTCGGGGTATTTAAAAAAGTATTTTAACTTTTGACAAATTTTGAGAAATTTTGAGTGATTTGACAAAAAAATTTAAATGTTTCATTAAACTCATTAAAGTGTCCATGCTATATCTATGTAGAAAATATATTTCGCACAAACAATAAAAGAGATAAAATATTTGTTATTGATACTACTCTTCACCTTCCCCCTGCTTGGATGAGGTACTTAATGTTAGAAAAGTTAAAAATCTCTGCGAATAGTGGACTGCTCCAAAGTAGAGCAGCCGGTGGAAACGGAAAATGTCTCCGGGTTTCGGATCGTCATAAACACGATTGTTGCGAGGCCTTATTAAAAGGTGAGAATTAGCGGCCGAACGCCGCTGGTGTGACCGACTGATTTACCACGTCCGTGAGCGTAAATTTCGTGGTCAAGAGTAACGATCTTGGGCGAAAGCCCGTCTCGAAATATGCTGAAAACCGGTCATCAACGGCGGGAATGGTATGTTCGTCCGCACGAGATCGCTCAAGATCATGGTCAGCTCGAGACCCCCGAGACCATCGACCATCTCGACCGGGCCTCGGGGATCTGCAACTGCCTACGCATTCCCACAGTTACGTTTTCGGCACTTTCCCTTCGCGCGGACGCGCGAAAGACGCGCTCTCGATGCGATCCTTCTCTCTCCGAACTCTGCTGCATCTCGTGACTTTAATCGGAAATGAAAAATATCTACCCTCTAAAAGTAAATCAGTGGAATTATCATTGATTTACTTTTATCACTAAAAGACGATATAAAATTTCAGTTCTCAAAACAGTTTGACAGTAAAATTCACTGTCTTTCAGTGATATTCACTGTTTGAATCAGTATGTTATCATTGAAACAACATTGAAATAGAGAATCACTGCTTATCACAGCTCAAAGTATGTCATTGGAAAATGATATACTGACAATCAGTGATGATTCCACTGATGTACTTTTAGAGAGTAGCTTATTTGTCTGAAGTTGTTCCTCAGTTAAGTGGATAACGTATCTTCGGATATTGATAGTATCGTATATCTTTTAATAAAAGTGATGGGCATCTTTTTCTCGTAATGAATACGATTCGATCATACAATTTAAAATAA